TTAATTGGTTCGTTATGTTTATGACGGAATCCAAGAAGAATTTTTCGTCTAGTGTAATTTAAATTTGAATCCAATTTATCATTTAGCAAATCTTGAAGTTTCTGCCATATATGGGTAACCTTGCTACAATCATAAAAGAGATGGGATGTTGTTTCTATAGAATTTGAGCAATAGCTACATTGGTTATGGTCAATGTATTTCATTCTAAAAAGTCTACTATTCGTTGGCAAAATATGATGAAGCAGTTTGTATTGAAACCATTGGAGATCTGTATCTTTTGTACAACGAAAGGGAATATGGTTATAGTTGTGTCAAGTATCTATATCAATTGCAATTTCGTTTCCTAATATAACATTCCATTTCATACAGTCTTGATTGCGATTTGTTTTTGTTTCCTATAAAGCCCTGTAATAAACTTGACCACCAGTTGTTTGTCTTGTCAGAAGGTTGACGATATATGGTTGTATTAGGTTTACTTTTTTGTCAATGTTTTCTAAATTGAATTGTTTGCTTTTGAAGAAGGCTTTAACTGCGCTAATGACTCCGCATTAATCTAGAAAGTTAGTATTTAGATTATATGTGGTTCTAAATTTTTCATGGGATAGAAATTTGCCAGCGTCTTTAAGAAGGTCGTTAATAAATAGTTTACCTTTTTCCTTCCAGTTTGTATAAAAAATTGTTTTTCTATCAATTAAAATATTTTGATTATACCAAATTACTTGGGAGGTAATGTTTAGTTCCGAGTCTATTTCCTCATGTCTCGACAATAGGTCCCACCAAGCATTTAGTAAGTCTCGGTAGAATGTATTGCGAACCAATGGAGTGAAAACGTTTCTTAGATTTGGACAATTATATTCAAAAATATTTGCAGATCCAAGTTTAGGTACATTTTCTGCAAATAGGTTGCTGCCTTTAGTGTACTTCATGAAGAGACGTCTTATAACTGACACTTGTTGAGCCTGCATCACCTCCTTTATATTCGGTGCGTTCAGGTCGCAATCTTTAATATTACATATAAGTTGATCACGTGTAACTTTATCAGGTTTGTTTCTCCATATGAACTTGAAACATTTTCGTTTAGAGTCATCTATTACTTTGTCCGGAGGATTTGGGATTGAAGCGAAGAGATTATTTAATTTTGGAATAATTAACGCTTTAAGTACAGTATTTCTACCCAAAGGAGTGATATTTCTTATAGACCAAATTGACATGAGGGTTTCGCAGTGTCTCAATTTATCTTTATAGTTAAGATCAACCATTTCCTCAAGATCTAGATCAAATTTTATTCCGAGTAATTCAAAATTACTTTGTTCCCAATTTAGATTGAAATTTCGACAGAGCTTTATTCTTGAGCGCTGTTTAGAGCCAATCCATAAAATTTTATTTTTGTCTATATTTACTAACAAATATTTATTTGGACTCAAAGTACCATGACCGTGCCCTTCACTAAAATGTAACAGTTTTCCCCTTTTTACATGCTGTGTAATAACTGATATAGTGTTCAAAGTGGCATCAAAACCATTCACGATAAACGTTGTAATTGAACTGCTATAGTTCGGGGACATGTTGCGCGTCTGGTATACGAGTTTCTGTTCTTGTTCATCCGCCAATCTGGAATATGTTTAGCGGAGATGAGTCTCAGGTTGTCCCGCACTGTCTAGATCGCGAGCTGGCCATGAATCGTCACGTTTTCATTATATCGGTCCCTTTTCAAACATCAGTACCTCAATATATGATATAAATGTGTTTGATATCTTAGCTGCTCCTTTGAGGAACAAAATATTTCTAACCTAATAGTATGTTCCTCCGTAGGACGCCAAGTGGCCTTGACAATCCCCAGGTATCTCTAATGAGATATCTAGTCGCATCATGTCAGTTTCAGCAACAACTCAGAAACACCGCGTAAACTTGACATTGTATCCCTGCTTGATGTCGAGATAGCCCCTAGTTATGAGATTTAAAACCTAATCATGTTGGGATAGCGATACTGTTAGCATACTGCTAAGAAAGGTTACCTGGGCCTATGATGACACTCAACAATTCATTGGCCTTTTGTGTTTCGCCACTTAGATGTAGTATTGTATGGGGTTTTTCCAGTAAATATTGTGTGTTAGTCCAGTAAAAGTAAAGGAAAAAATCGCTGAACATGACATGTCATCGTATCCCAACTGCGTAGATCGATGATGCTCATGCTGTTGATCACTGGATTGTCTGTTCCAGACTCGATTATTTACAGACCGCCGCCGTATAGCTGGAATATTGCTGAGTGCAGAATAAAAGTAAAAGTAAACTAAACTACATATGCTTGATGTTAGTTGTAAGCACTTCAAAACAGGGTGCTTTTAACGGGAATTGATGAAGTGGAATTGGATGATTGTTGCTTTAGTTAATGTCATGTTACTATCTCTGTATAACCTTATTTACTCTTTACAATTTCATTTCATTTTACCGCTTCAGTCTTAATTTGTCATCAGTGCGTCTGTACGATAATATTCGAGATTAGATTTCCCAGCATATGTCATGCATCAAGTAAATTTCATCCAAGAAGATTGCAATCTCGATACACGAACACGCTCAGTTAAAAACAAAGCCATAAAGTATATATAATTTAACAATTTTATTATGTTAGAAGTAAAAGAGCCAATTCCTTTCTATGTTTATGGGGGCGTCGGAAGCCATATTATAATGGGGATTCTAGAAGTCAGAGGCGGCCTGACAATCTAAGTATGAAGATCAAACAAAAGCGCTAAGTATAGGGTCATGGCCAACCGCGATCAGTACTGCCATTAAAGTTAGAGGGCACATGTTTTATACTTAATTATTTCCTATAACGCGAGCAGTCAATACATCGAGAGAGTTACCATAGAACCGGAACGGAAACGTGAGAGACTTGGTTATTGACCAGCCTTTGGGAGCAGGTGTGCTACTACACTGGTCAATTATCACGTACTGCAGAACACTTAAATGCGCAAACTATACACGCTTACCAACATTATTATGACCTCACGTGTTCCATGTATTGCCGATAAGGTGTATAGACTGCGAAATAAAGGAAAATATGTGTTTTTCTGTAATTGGTCCATGTTGTTTTCACTGACAATGTTAATATACACTGAACAAAACACTTTCACATCCAGAACTTTGCTTAGACAGATGTTCCACCTTGTACCAATGACCTGGAATCTCGCTTCTGTCACACAAAGACCAGTTAAGACAAATAGATCGTGCGTTATTCCGGCAGCATATTTGGAAGCAGAAAACAAGTTGACATAAATGATCCGTGGGAAGAAAATAATCAAAATATGAAATACCCTTGAAAAATGGATCTTATCGTGAGGTTAGACATTATTCAAGAAATAACCTTGACAAAAGGATCTTGAATAATGTCTAACCTCACGATATAGGTATCTTTTCGAGACAGAGAAACCCGATCGATGATTATTATATATTAGCTTTATATGTATGAACTGCATAGTGTGCCTCCTGTAATACTGCGCAACGTATAGAGTTGCAAACTTCTCCACATATATTCTATAGGTGCATGTACATAACAATGACATTCAGTCATTAATTGTCCTTAATATGTGTCATCTGTCATCTGTCTCCAGTCTAACATGTAACTGTGCGAAAAGTGCGACCAAAATGTGCAACTGTCGTTCATAACAAATTCTGTATTGATAGTGAGTTGAAAATATATAACTTGAATAGTTTCTATAGCGTCGAGTTCCCGCAGTCGATCTATCGACCCTTTACTGAGCAGTTTAAAAAATACCACAAAACAGACAGCAGGGGTACAAAAAAATAGGTAACAAAGGGTCAGATTAGGTCAACTGACAAAACATTCATTAATGTTTTACATCTGGTTCCTCGAGGATATCTTTATTTGGATAACTCAAGGAAGCAGGTGGCAAGGTGAGGGGAAAGATAGAGGTTTGCAAGATCAGATTGCAGACATGTGTAAGTAATTGTTTAAATTTCCTTTGTAGAGTTTCAGTAACACACATTATTCATGGATATATACAAATACACCCACACGCCCAGATTCACTATATTATATACATACAGTTCACACGGGCGACAGATAGATAAAGAAGAAGTTCTTTGCGTTCCGTCGACGTCGGTTTTGAGCTGGCAAGTGCGTAACTTTTGCCTCAGTGTTTGGTGTTATTCATCATCATGTGAAATAAAATTCAACCAAAGGAGTTCCCCTGTTTACGTCGATGTCATCTATTGTCCCTTACACTGTTTTTAACCTTAACTTTCATCCAAAAGATATCTTGATGCATCTCGTGGAGTGTTCTTGAGCTCGGTGCCGTCCCAAAGTGGCGTACAAGCTCCAGATTACACCAAAGTTTCCTTTGAACGATTAATGGGTAACGTTATTCAAATCTTTGAAAATCTGTCATCTATGTGATTTTCTGCAGTCCTTGCATTTGTCGCTGTTGAGAGTATCTAGAGTGGTGGTAGATCTGGAGAGACAAATATGTGATCTTCCTGCGTGTACTTGATGAGTGTTTAGTGTTGTATTAGAATCACTACCCCCGACGGTGTGTCCTGGAGAAGGATGTCTGTTGAATTAGCAACAATCCAGGTGTGGTGGTTCAAGGTAAGTAACTGCTGTTGTTGATCTTTTCGAAACACACATAAAAGATCATCGAATTACGTGGCAATCAGACGGAGCCGCCCAGTCACTATTACAGTAGATTCTGTGCAAAAGGAGATTAAAGGGGATCATGCAAGATGATCACATCAACAATAGGCCAGCGTGAACTCCTTAAAGTTCCAGAAGTTGAAATAGTCTGTAAAGTTTTACTGTAAAGTCGGTTTACGTTTCGTGTATCATGGATGGATGGGGGTGGGGGTGGGGGTTTAGAGTGAGCAATCCACATGCTGGATGGTTATGCGTATTCCATTTGACTTTACAAACCATGTAGAAAACCAATGATTATTTTATAAAAATCGTGTTGAAGGGTTTCAACAAACTGTTCAAAAGTCACTAACAGTGTTACCTGTTGTGTCATTTATTACTCTGAATATGGACATGCATACATTACATACAGGACCAGTTATTCACTTGTTCTCGCTGAATTCACTCTCGCTGCAGGACTTCTTTTGACGAATTTTGTACAGATGAGTAATAATGAGGCTACAAGTAGGAACGACCCCACCAGATGAAATGATGCCAGGTAGGTCCCTGTAGAATCTTTCAGGTAACCTGTTGCAGAAGAACACATCAATGAACTCACAAATGCTGAGAGAAATGTGTTTGATACAAATACGAAATTCATGAAACACTGACTTCACATTTGTACGTCTTAGTATTGTCGAAATGCATAGAATGAGTAAGCTATGATCTAGTTACACCAATATAGCCTTTGGACAAGTACAACAGTTGAAGTACACCAGTTGTTGTGCAATAGCACGATCAACGTTCTATGGCGTCAAAGCACGCTGGTACAAAAATACAAACTCAACCTTCTGATCACCAAATCCTAATTTATCTCATATTGAACCAGATTCCCCACATAGGCAAACTCTGTGAGTGTAAACACGTTAACATCGCTTATTTATGCAGTTTATGTATATGTGTACGTTTTTGTGTCATAAGGCACTTTAATGTCAGAAAATGCTGTAATTGTATTACCTTGTTTCTCTTATGATTCAATAGGAGTTCATAACATCATGGTCCCTTATGTTAGCAGTGGTGTTAAATGAACTAATTGTTTGTTGCTTTTGGAATCATCTTGACATCTGGACAACTAATCCAGCACAGTAAGGAACGTCCCCGTGGGTGTGTAGACTATATAAGTGGTAAAAGCGCTGAACATGAAGGCAAGTGGTTTGTTTGAAGATCATATGTTACCCCTGATTATCTCTACCTAATTATTTTTAACACAACTGTTAACTGATAACACTTTCATGTTATGTTATATGTTTCTGGATCAAACTAAACTCTGTCAAAAAAGAAACGCAACCCCTGTCCTCAGATATGAAAAATTCGTTTGAATGAAGTTATTGCTTCCAAACTAAATGTTATTCGAATGTATTGAAATTATACACGTAATTAATGAAGATTACCATCCAAACAACTGCATTTGTACGCATAAGTGTATTTTATTGCTTATTCCGTCACAACGCATGAAATGACCCTCATGGTGACTTCGCACAAAAAAAACACATGCAAATCATGAAAATGGCAGTTAATGTAGGGGTGTATAAAAGCCCATGTGCTTTCGTATTATATTCATTCATTTGTCGCATGAAAAGCTGTGTGAAAAATGCCACGATTGAGTGCTGCCGACCGAAATATCGCCATTGGTCGTGTTCAAGCCGGAGAAAGTTTTGGAACTGTTGCACGGCACCTAAATGTTCACAAAACAACGATATCCCGACTTTGGAGCCGCTACAACAACTTCAATTTGACCAACGATCGCCCGAGAAGTGGAAGGCCAAGAATCACGACCCCCCTTCAAGATCGGTACATCCGGGTCCATCACCTGCGTAATCGGCATGCCCTACCAACCGTGACTGCCACACAAATACCAGGTTTGAGGAGAGTGTCAGCTCAAACGATTAGGAACCGTCTGAAAGAAGCGGGTTTACGTGCCTGTAGACCAGTTGTTGGACCTGTCCTACGCCCCTACATCTCCGCCGACGACTCAGGTGGTGCAACAACGTAAGGATATGGACTTTACAAAACTGGAGGCGCATCTGGTTTTCTGATGAATCCGTTTTCTTTTGCAACATCACGACGGAAGAAAACGTGTGTATAGGAGACGTCATGAACGTTTTGCGCCCATCTGCGTCCGACAGGGGACAGATTTGGCGGAGAAAGCGTTATGGTTTGGGGATCCATCTCATACAACCAGAAATCAGACTTGGTGATCGTTGAAGGGAACCTGACAGCCCAACGTTACATCAACCACGTATTACAGCCTCACCTTCTCCCGATTATTGACCAACAGACACAGATTTTTCAACCAGACAACGCCCGGCCTCATACTGCACGTGCAACAATGAACTTTCTGCAGAATTCCAACGTCAATGTCTTGCCATAGCCCTCTAAATCACCAGACCTCAACCCTATTGAACACCTGTGGATACTCTGGGTCGACGCGTACGTCAACGTCAGCCGCCGCCACAGACGCTGCAACAGCTCGGCGTTGCACTGCAGGAGGAGTGGAGAGCCATTCCCAGGAAAGAATCCGGCGTCTTATCCGTTCTTGTCCAAGGAGATGCCGTGCAGTGATTGCAGCTCGTGGTGCTCATACGAGATACTGAGAAAGACGCCCCTGGTGACAAACTGGTGTCTGTGAGATGACTTTTGAAATGACAATTTTAAACATGCCCATCTTGGTTATTATTCTGCCAAATTTCAGACTTCTGTCTTAAATAATAAAAATGCTGTGTCGTCTTAAAACTTCAGATCAAAATCTCTAAAATACAGGGGGTTTCTTTTTGCGTTTCAGTTATGGGGACAGGAATTCAATTTATCGTAAACATTTTATTGTCTAAGATTATGTGAATTCAACCTATCACTGTTATCTCTGTACTTTAACAAGTGAGTTTTTTAGTGAGTGAACTGGCAAAACATTACAAACATGACATAAGGTAATATGGTATGCTTAAGGCAACTACATTTTTGTCAACTTACACGGTTGAAAAAACAGTTGTCTGATCATGTTCAGCTTTGACTGATAAAAAGTGTCGTTTTAGCTTTAAAAAGAGAAAAAAAATAGCTGTGGAAAAAGAAATCCAGTTCAAAGAATTGGAATCTAAAAAAGGTAGAGTATCACGAATCAAACAATTCATGGTTAAATGTAATAGAGAAGAAAGCGGTGGAAAAATTGAATTCACATAATGATATCTCTCTCTCCCAGTAACTCGACAGGTGATAGATCGTTCGATCCTACAAAGCAGATTAGACTTGTTCTCTGAACTTGGATATCGAAAAGTTTTTCTTACAGTTTGAAAAGTTGGTTCACGGGTTTTTATAAGCGGTGGGTGCAGTGGTCATTGTGAGCAAAGTATGGATCAGTTACCCCAGCACGATTATTATTTGCTTCCCCTCAAGGTTAGTTTCAGGCAGTCAAGGTTTTCAGAGAGGAGGAGTCAGGTTTATAAATCATGAAAGCATAGTTTATCCCCTCCTAGTTCTCGTTATAAATCTGTTTCTGTGTTTCGTTACAGAAATCCAAGATCTGCCCTAATTGGTACTAAATAAAGTTCTGAATTTGCATTGAAGCCTACTTGTAGATATTTCCATATGTCAGGACATATCATTTCTCAGTGTTAAAAGCAGGTAAACTTCAAACGTTTCGATGGTATTCGGACAATTCCTAAGGGGCCATCAGCTAACTCTGACGTTGTATTGGAGAGCGTATGTGGTTTCACATGTGCGCCTTTCCAGTCTTGCACTTTCGAGACAGATTTGGTGTCCGGATTGGTTGATGTTTGTAGAAAGTCTCATTTATGGGAATGATTTGCCAGGGAAAAATAGTTTGCTGATCCTGTTTTGTGTCTTGAGCCTAGCACTATACAAAGCTCTGAAAATGTTAACCATTTTAGGCATTTATCCATCACGTTTTCCATCGTTATGTGTCTAAACACCTTTCTTCTAAGAATTATTCGAATTAAGCTTTGGCTGGCACATTTATTTCTCCTTACCTTTCTAAATGTAAAGATGAATACTTAATATTCTGACTTGTGTGGGACCAGTTCTGGGTAGGGAGCAGCTGGTTAAGTTACAGGACAAACTAAAGACTCAGAACACATACTCCTGTCTACACTATGTTTGGAAAGAGATTACAGTTTGCTATTATTTCAAGAATATCCTCCTGATGACATAATGGAGGCTACAAGATATTTCTGCTGATAACGAATAGATGGTTTCTTCATCACATTGTTCTTCCAAATTAATATTGAAAACATCTTCTGACTTTGGCACATAATACTCCATTGGCAGGTCTTTTGGGTTTGAACAAAACATGTGACAGAACTCTATATTGTCTCTTGGTCTAATTTGTGGCTGAAGTTTGTATGTCAAATGGTTGGCAAATCTAATAAGATAATACCTTTGAATATTATTTATTAAGGTTTGGGTAATATTCCTCACAAATTGGTTTGCCTAGGACTGTTCGGTGAAATCAGGGCTACAATTTCATGTCAGGTGCTTTCCAACAGACAACACATCAGTTAGGCATTACTCACTTTAGGTCTTTTGTGAGTCAGTTAAAATCTAAAGTCACATTGGCAATATTTCAGTCATATCGTGACTACAACAAGTTTTTGACTTCATCATAAATACATGTAAATCACTAAAAGCCTGTCAACAAAGGACAGTAAAACCAACTAGAATATCACAGACTCAAGAAATAAAACTAGTATCTATCTCTAAAACTGGATTTAAAATTAGGACAATACAATATAAAAAACGGGCTTTGAATTTTCATGAGCTTTAGAAGGGTTTCATCATAAGAATATGGTAAAAATGCACTCATTTGTTGTTGATTGCTGTAAGCAGTTTTAATTGTGCCTAAATCTAATGATAGACACAGATCTTGTACAGACATGAAACAGGTGAATTTCTTTCTAAACGTGACTCTTACCCACAACAAGAATTGATGACAAAATCGAGTTCATTACCAAGTTTAACCCAATGAAGGGGTATTGGCAGATTCCACTGATTGGGGGTGCCACGCGTTTCGATCTTTGTGCCCCCAACACAACTCTGGGGCAACTGGGCAACTATAGAAAGCTCCAGGCACTTTTAAGTGTCTTACGTACCAGCCAATCTTGAGAGTGTCAAAGCATACATGCATAATGTCATGACTCGTTCCATGGTACAAGAACCTAAAGGGTATACCAGCCTTATTTATAGAATCACTGAAGCCTAGTTGACTGTAAATGTTGATGTGAATTCGACTGTTCTCTGAGCACTACGTTTTGAAAACTCCTTAAGATTAACAGCAAATGCTAATGATATTGGCGTTGGAGCTGTCAAAGAGCAAAAGGAATTACCAAACGTTGATCATTCTGTTTGCTCTTATTCATGACAATTTGACAGACAATCAGATTCAATCTTGACGATGTAGTTACTCTTACTCAAAAGTCAGGTTATAAGTTGATTTGATTCCTCTTCAAGTTTACAAACATCAACATCCATTTCCAATTAAAATATAGAATACAAAGGAATGGCTAATGCATTCGAGCTTGTTTCTTTTGATGGAATTAGACTTAGACATCAAATATATCAAAGGCAAAGGCAGCATTATAGCATTATCACGAATTGATTGAATGTGATCATTCTTGATCTGGCATCTTAATGAAAATCTTCATAATTTTCATGTATACTAGCTGTTATTTACTGTTCTTAGCAAGTTTCTCACTATGTTTAAGCTTATTTTTCCAAAAGGGGAGGGTACTATATGGCAGTGTAGTGTACAGCAAAACATTTCATCAACTTACTTCAGGTTCAGTAGGCCAGCGGTTGTGTGATGATCATACTGTTACTCTGGATATCCCGCCTAGCCGTATGCTTAAGTCGGACCACAAGTGCTGTGAGGTGAATATTATTATCCCTGACTGTTGTTGTAGTTTATACTTCATTATTAATTGCACTTTAACTGCATGTTGTGGTGCTACTCTTGTGTACTGCTGTTATAATTACTTTGCACTAATTTGTATTTGCAAATCTAGTACATTTTCTAATACAAACATACATTGTACAATATTGAATGCCCAAAGATTCCTGGTTAACGTTTTGGTTCAGTATGAAAGTCGACAAGTAACACCTTTCATACTTTCTCTTGACCCTACACAAATTATATTAATGGTTTACCAAGAAGCACGGGTCCTACTGTGCTGGCTATTCCCTCACAACACAACGTAATGCCGAGGGAGCGTGGCAGGTTGTTGATTCCAAAAAAGTCGATTAACACTGGGGACAACAGGGAGAAGTAGCACCCTCCAGCCAGACCAATCACCACACAATATAGAATAATGGTTGTTGTAGAAGCCAGGAATGACATAAATTGTGCCAGGGTTCCACTTATGATCAGTGATATAACAAGCAGCTTGTAACGTTTTATAAAGCCTGTGTCTGCCAATAATCCACAGGAAAGTTTTCCAACTATGTCAGCTGCTCCAATAATTGTAACCAGGAGCGACGTCATCTTCTCGTCAAAGCCGAGATCTCTCGAATGGGGTACAATGTAAATAGTCTGCAGTGTACAGCCAACATTAGCAAGAGCTGATGCAATTTGCAGCAAAACAAATACAGGATTCCGACACAATGAAAGATCTATCAAGTTTGTTAAGCAGCAGGTGTTTCTGTTATCCACGTCGTGATGAACGTTACAGCCAGTCTGAGGGAACAAGAAAGTGCATGCATTGTTTCAATCAGTAGGCTATAAGTAACTTTTAAAATTACAGTTTATAGTAATTTTATAAAGATATTTTTAGAAAGATATTTCGTTATTGATGAATTTACTTTTACAGAAGCCTGATACCACTGAAAAACATTAACCATCCCTATATAATCTTGCCTTTGCCACTTCTGTTCTTGGTGTTTCCATAGCTTTGATTTGAGGATATTTCTCATTTACATCCACCTCCTTAACATCTAGTCCAGCATGTTTGCAAGTGATTACTGTCGGAAACAAATCCCTCTCTTTCCATTTTTCGTCCTCTTCATCCTGACGACTTTGATGAGATGTAAGCGGTTGACATTCCTCACACTGGCCCTGTTTGGCGTCACATGTCGGGGTTTTGAAGGGCCTCATTATAGCAGCACTTAGACAGCAATGTAACATTAATCCCCCTATCAGTAAAAGAGTGCCTCTTAAACCGTACGTTTCAAAGAGAATGTACAATAGAGGTGGGAAGGCAAATTGTCCTAAACTCCCACCTCCAATGGCTATACTATTTGCGAGGCTTAACCGCCTGTTGAAATACAGACCGACCATGACTAGGCTTGGTCCGTGCATGAAGGCATTCCCGACCCCTGAAACAAAACCAGCTAATATTTGCAGGTCAAATGTTCATACTATAGGAAACATACTTACAAGGTTCCCTCCTTCGAAAATGTTTCACGCCGTGGTGAGGTGAGGTGAAATTGGGTTTAACGTCGTACTTGAGAATATTTCGCTCATATGACGACGTTTCATGCCAAGAGTGCTTTGAATATGCATAACATGCATATAAATTGCTTATGTTGCATTGTAAACTCAGCCTCCTAAATCCAAAATACTCAGCTTGGTGGAAACAGTTTCGGCCATAAACACTGGGTGATGGTGAACCGCGCAGTCGCACGCGTTCCTCTTTTTGCGAGTACTGGGCGTTATCACTATGTGATAGTGATTCATAAACACTTGCTCATTATATGGCGTACGGCAAAGTGAAACGCCGAGTGACTGATTCAGAAAGGCTATGTCAATAAAGTTAATCTTATCCTGAACTACAAATGGGATACTATTACGCCTGTGAGAGGGAATAGCCGGAGTTAGTGTCTGGCGTTGACATCTCATGTATCAAACTACAGATATATACTGAGTCAAAAAAGAAACTTCACATTCTTTCTTCAGGGCAGTATAAAAGAACAAGAGATGGTAAGATGGTTAAATTGTTATTATTTCATTGCTGAGATCTGTGTGATGTACTCGATACACTGACAGTGCCATAATCAGTTCCATTAGGCTACACCGCCGTTCCAAAACATGGGTATACAGAATGTCAAGTCACAAGAATAAAAATGCGAAATTTCTCAGTTCAATATCGTGTATGGTCGCCCCGCGCATTCACCACTGCCAAACACCGTCTCCTCATCGACTGCCTGATGCTTGTGAACACGTGGTTGGGGATTCTGCGCCATTGCTCTTGCAAGGCAGCGCTAAGTTCCTGCAAATACTGAGGTTGGTTCCTAAGACCACGAAGCCTTCTCCCAAGTGCATCCCAAACGTGCTCTATTGGATTAAGGTCAGGGGACCTCGATGGCCAGTCCATGACGTTGATTCCAGCGTTTTGAAGGAAATTTCGTGTCAACATCGCGGTATGCGGCCGAGCATTATCATGCTGGAACTGTAGACCTGGGCCATGAGCCTCCATGAAAGGAACGAGTTCAGGGGTGAGCACCTGGTCGCGGTAAGCAGCAGCTGTGAGGTTTCCACGGATGACCAGAAGTCGGGAACGGTTGTTCCCACAGAAAGCACCCCACACCATGAAAGGAACGAGTTCAGGGGTGAGCACCTGGTCGTGGTAAGCAGCAGCTGTGAGGTTTCCACGGATGACCAGAAGTCGGGAACGGTTGTTCCCACAGAAAGCACCCTACAACATACAACTTCCGCCCCCTAATCTGTCGACTTCCTGTACACAACATTGGGCATACGTCGTCTCCAGACTCTATGCCTGTCGTCCGCGAATCTGAGGGTAAACCTGGATTCATCGCTAAAGACGACTCGATTCCAGTCTCTCTGGGTCCATCGGAGGTGACGTTGGGCCCAAAGCAGACGTTGACGTTGATGAAAAGGCGTCAATATTGGCCCACGATATGGACGTCGAGAATGGAGATTGGCAGCCCGCAACCGATTTCGAATGGTCTGTGAGGACTGTCGACCTCTAAACATCTCAGCCCTGGTTGGTGTAGCCGGCAGAAATCTGTCACGTAGGTGACGTAGGACGATTTGACGGTCTTCTGCTCGTGACGTCACACGTGGACGACCCGACCTTGGGCGATCAGAAGTGGTGCCAGTTTTTTGTAGACGACCTCGCAAGTCATACACAGTACGACGGCTGCATCCCATTGCTCTTGCGACGTCAATAACTGATCTTCCCACTTGCAACATGCCAACGGCACGTTCACGTTGCACATTTGACAATCGTGGCATTTCAAGCACCGTTAGAACTGTGGTTTAAAAGTGTTTTTTCAATTCTTGAGGCCAATGCAAACACGTGCATATGAAGAAAACTTCGCTGCGAAGATCACGTGATCGACTGCACGTGCAAAACCTGATTTGGCACTAACGTCATTTGCACGACGAATGGATGGGTTTGAGTGGGTTTTGCTAACGTTTTTCTAGCGTCGAAAGATAGGGATCCCATTTCGGATACATAGATGTATCATCAGAGAAAAATTATTCATTATTTTTCAAATTACATTTTGTGAAGATTCTTTTTTGACTCAGTATGTTTGTGTGTGTGTGCGCGCGTGTGTGTGTGTGTGTGTGTGTGCGTGCGTGCGTGCGTGTGTGTGCGTGCGTGGTGTTATGTCATAGAGTGATGTAATTCTTCCAGGATTAGTTGTTTAGATGGATGTCATGAAGGTCAGATGTTGTGTGAACAGTACTCGATGAGTTGGGAGATACAAAGTAGGACACAATACAATAACGAAGGAGAAGGATTCTCTTACCAATCATTGCACCGCAGGAGAACAGGAGGTATACCATATCTGAGGCCACAAAGCTCATTGCTATTCCTGTAGACGACGTTATGGCTCCAAAGAACATGAGCTGTCTGTAGCTGAATTTGCGCGCAAAAAGATGAAGGCAGATTGGAGCTGAAATTGAAAATGGCCACAGCATTAGGTTCGGTGATTACCACAATTGTTAAGATCCAGTAAATATAAATGTATTAAAATGAATCAGATTAGGAAAAATAAAACCTTTAAACTTATAGATTATAAAATGTTGTAATCAGATATCTAAGAAAGTGTACCAGATTGTGCTACATTTATTGTATGTTATATAATTGATCATGTTAAATATTCTTGGTTATTTCCTTATGATTGAAAAAGACTGCCATTTTCAATTCAGTACAAGATATTGAATATTCCAAAATAGTTCTACGTAATTATAAGTAATTAACAGCAACTCATTGTATGAATTCACTGATGCAGCAAGGCATGTTCCTGTACTACATCGTATTGCAATTATGCTTGTGCGAAAATATTGTGTAAAACCTTTTATTCGGGAGAGAAAACCTCAAAGGTTTTTTTCACTGTTGCTCATTAAGTACATACAGAGCAAACCATATGTTTAAATAATCTTTTGAGGCTTAGCTAGTTCCAGTGGGGGTGTTCAATATGAGCACAATGAGCGGCGTCCCGTTTTTGTGCCAAACGATTTTCACAAATTTACGTATTCAACAATCCAACTGATATTACTCGTTGTTTGTTTGCTACTTTACTTTCAATCAATGCTTAAACCACGTAACAGTTATATTATTTTCTAGTAATATTTTGGAGTAATATATATTTGTGATAAGGAATGAATTGGGAAGAAATTGAAAGAACAATAATGAAAGTATCATAACAAATGTTATGAAAATAGAGGACGACGGAGCTGTGATAGGAAATTTTAATATGAGATTTTTGTGATCACATCGAAATTTGTCAGTCGATCAATTCACTCGTCGAGACATACTGCATATGTATGTATCAAAAAGGCGCCCTGGGGGAATCTGCCCTACTCCTAATGCAGCTCCTGGCCAAGTTCAGCCACACGAATGCAAACGGGAACATAGGCTGTCAGTATGCTGTCATTATATCAATCCACACCAACACTGCTAGATCTGCCATGACCTATCTGGTTACGTTGTCTTTACGTTGTCAGACACGACCACGTGTACTTAGGTAGCGAAGCGTGAATCGAGACATCGGAAACATGAGAGAGACAATTACTCTTGTTTTGACGTTCTGTTAACAATTTACGTCTGTTGGCAATAGGACAGTTTTTAAGAGGTCGTAAACGTGGCCGTGTTCGATGTCCAGTTGTTTGACCCTTCCGTTTTACTCAAATTGCCTGATGCACGCTTGCAGCACTCTGTCTCACCGTTCGACTGAGCCTTGTTTGGATTATTCGAGCCTGAAGTCTTGTCAGTGACCTGGACGTTTGGAACAGGGACGATTGTCTGGTACCTGTTGGTATCTGTTCCTGCTTCCCAGTAGCCTGTAGATATTCCACGCACTGCAGCTGCAGCATCACAAGTTGGGTTGTGTCAAGTAAACCACAACGGAATCACAACACAACCACAATGGTATCACAACACAACTACAACGGTATCACAACACAACCACAACGGTATCACAACACAACAACGGAATCACAACACAACGGTATCACAACACAACCACAACGGTATCACAACACAACCACAACGGTATCACAACACAACGGTATCACAACACAACCACAACGGTATCACAACACGGTATCACAACACAACAACAATGGTATCACAACACAACCAAACACAACCACAACGGTATCACAACACAACCACAACGGAATCACAACACAACCACAACGGTATCACAACACAACCACAACGGTATCACAACACAACCACTACGGAATCACAACACAACGGTATCACAACACAACCACAACGGTATCACAACACAACCACAACGGAATCACAACACAACGGTATCACAACACAACCACAACGGTATCACAACACAACCACAACGGAATCACAACACAACAACAACGGAATCACAACACAACGGTATTACAACACAACCACAACGGTATCACAACACAACCACAACGGAATCACAACACAACGGTATCACAACACAACCACAACGGTATCACAACACAACCACAACGGTATCACAACACAACCACAACGGTATCACAACACAACGGTATCACAACACAACCAAAACGGGATCACAACACAACCACAACGGTATCACAACACAACCACAACGGTATCACAACACAACCACAACGGTATCACAACACAACCACAACGGTGTCACAACACAACCACAACGGAATCATAACACAACGGTATCACAACACAACACAACGGTATCACAACACAACCACAACGGTATCACAACACAACCACAACGGAATCACAACACAACGGTATCACAACACAACCACAACGGTATCACAACACAACCACAACGGTATCACAACCACAACGGTATCACAACACAACCACAACGGTATCACAACACAACCACAACGGAATCACAACACAACGGTATCACAACACAACACAATGGTATCGGAACACAACCACAACGGTATCACAACACAACCACAACGGAATCCAACACAACGGTATCACAACACAACCACAACGGTATCACAACACAACCACAACGGTATCACAACACAACCACAACGGTATCACAACACAACGGTATCACAACACAACCACAACGGTATCACAACACAACCACAACGGTATCACAACACAACCACAACGGAATCCAACACAACGGTATCACAACACAACCACAACGGTATCACAACACAACCACAACGGTAATCACAACACAACCACAATGGTATCACAACACAACCAAACACAACCACAACGGTATCACAACACAACCACAACGGAATCACAACACAACCACAACAGTATCACAACACAACCACAACGGTATCACAACACAACCACAACGGAATCATGGGGATTAATAGAAATATTGATGAAATGAGATCATTCGACCTTCCTTGAAAATCCGACGCTCGTTTGGTGTGTGGCGCATCTCTGTGCTACAAACATAAACACATGGAAAGACAGAACATGTTTTCTGGCTTCAACAGATGTATAGGATGTCACATGCTCTTGACTACTAATCAGGATGAGAAAATAATACCTAGATATTTATAACAGGTTGCAGTGAATAAAACACGTCTTACACTCCACAAATAACCATTGTTTTTCAATACAATTTCGTTAGACTAATTCACATCCATCTCTATTTCTCTTTTCCGACAACAAAGCGAAACCATTTATGAAATCAAATCTTTGCAAAGCAATTATTAAATCATCCGCCAGAGCCACATCGTCTGCAATTGAAAGAAACACAATTTCCCCTAAATTATCAAACACAATTTCCCTTAAATTATCAAGGACAAATATGCCTCTTAATCCACTTAGCTTAAAACACCAAAATTTTAATCATTATTTTATGAAAAAATAGATACAATTGAGCTGAACTCGGCCTTCACTCCATCAGCTGCTTCCGATATTTAACCAGTTTTTAAGCAGATGTTTTGACATTCCATTCAGGAACACAAGCAAGACTAAAAAAGGATAAACATGGCTTTCGGATGAGATACCACTGGCAGAACAAACCATGGGTATCGGAATCTTTTCAGTGAACAGTTAAGTGATCATAATATTGCTCAACACAATGTGTCATAGATGTCAGGACATAATTCAGCTCAGAGCGCGAATAGTTACGTCATTAAGATGAAAAACATTGGACCTGGGTAATCTGTTGTTGGGGAATGTGCAGAGACTGCTCCGTTCTGTTGACGCCTGAACCCATCGCACAACAGTGCATACATTGAACGCCAATGAAGCTGCGAACGAGCCAATAAAAATCTTCGAGGTGTGCTTGCCATAATTGCGACGAGACATGTTGACTCGATACATTTATACTGACTATTTAAAAATATGTAGGGGATAATAAACTATGTTATGTTAATAACGATTATGAGAACATTAGGTATGTGCTTATGACAAACATCCTATACAAGAAGCTTTATATGTGTAGTATGGAGATGCGCCACACACCAAACGAGCGTTGGATTTTCAAGGAAGGTCGAATGATCTCATTTCATCAATATTTCTATCAATCCTCCTGATTCCGTTGTGGTTGTGTTGTGATACCGTTGTGGTTTACTTGACACAACCCAACTTGTGATGCTGCAGCTGCAGTGCGTGGAATATCTACAGGCTACTGGGAAGCAGGAACAGATACCAACAGGTACCAGATAATCGTCCCTGTTCCAGGCGTCCAGGTCACTGACAAGACTTCAGGTTTGAATGATCCAAACAAGGCTCGGTCGAAAGGCTAGTCCGAGTGCTGCAAACGTGCATCAGGCAATCTGAGTAAAACGTAAGGGTCAAACAATTGGAAATCGCATACGGCCACGTTTACGACCTCTTACAAACTGTCCTATTGCCAACAGACGTAAATTGTGTACACTACGTCAAAACAAGGGTAATTGTCTCTCTCACCTTAAATATCTATGGTCGTGGGTTCGATTCTCAGTTCGCCCCGATTGTCTTTCCAGGATTTTAGCATGACACCCGTGCTCGTGGCTTTCACCAAATCGTGCAATTAACTCCGCTGTTAGCAAATATTTTCTACTATTATTGAAAATATGTCGTCGCTTTTATCTGATGCATTCGAAAGGCCAAAACTGATTACAGCAAATACCACGAATACTGTCGGTGATAATATATGTAGCCTCACCTGATCACGTTTGTGTCCAGGCAGAGCTACATGTATAGAGAACAATACTCATTAGCCGTTTTCATTATCATGTTCTCCTCGCATTTAAACAGAAATGTACTTACCCATTATCGACTTGATGTAATCTAGACTGATATAATTCACATAACTTCCCATACCGGTGTCAGTATAAACGTAACAGCAACTTGATGCATCAGGGTCCTAAACGTTGTAATCAGTAGAATGTGTTATCTGGAGAACATGTGTTTTATGTGGTTGGTAACTGTTATATACTGTATATATGTGATCAGGAAATCACACTTAGCAAACATGGAAAC